AAAGGTAAGAGTATTTATGAACCTCCTTGAGTAGGTTTTCAAGTACATACATTTACAATTTCATTGTGTCTACATATTCATGCATGCATTCTAATGTTTTTATCTCATTTTTTGCACCATCTTTTTTAAAAAAAAGAACGAGTTTGATGATTTAACACTTCGAAGTGATGTAATTGAACATGTTATTTTGTTCTCATGAACAATGACTAAAGTTTTCATTCATCTAGTTTAAAACTTTTTTGGAGTACATGACATATGTTTCTTCATGTATTATCTACACTACACATACTAAGCTCTCGTGAGTCAGTAGTGTGGGAGGTCGCATTGAACATGGATTGACTTTTAACTAGTTGACCTAAACTCTAGTATATTTCCCATTCAAAAATTAGCAGTGAGCTTCAAAAGATCTGAATTCCATGTCAATAGAAAAAGACTTCGGTCTACATTTCACTACAAGGGTCATTTAAAAAGTTTAATGAAGAAAGTCTACATGTAAGATGTGAAAAAAGGAAAAAAAAATGTGCTTACAGATAGGGGAGTAAAAGTCAAACAGAAAATAAATATAAACTATTTTGTTTAAAAATATCTTAGTAGTGCTAGATTTGACTTTCACTATTTGAGGAAAATATTCATTCACCAATGATTTCTTATGCATGTTATTTATCACAAATTTAAGTTTTTGAATCTTGCTCACGGGATATTAGTGACACTTTTCTTATATGGGTTTCTTAAACAATTTACTTCATATAAGTTTATAATAAGTTGTATGGGAAGAGTTTATTGTTCATGAGTTATGCTTGTATAAGTAATCAAATAATTATTCATATGATGAAATGATATGAGTTTTCATGACATGATGTTACATAAGTAGTGCATTCACCCCCTTTTTTTTTTGTGATTATGTTGCTTGTTTCCCTTTGTTAGTCATGACAAAAAGGAGGAGTGATAGTATATTTATTTTAGGGGGTTAGTAGTATTGATTTAGGAAGAGTAGACTTGCAAACATTTGGGATTTTAATATAAATATTGGTATTGGGTTTGGTGTCATGTATAATATTGATATCATATATAGATCTTGTTAGCTTTGCTATTTTGATGTTCTACCTCAAGGGTCATGTTTAGTTACTAAGTTATTGATGTACGGGTGCTACATATTTTGGTGTTACATGTCTTCATTTGCGTTGTATGCACGACTTAGTTAGGTTCTTTATTATTAGTTTCCTTGTGCTTTTACACTTGGTACTGTTTGAGTTGATATGTTTCAAGAAACATGTACGACAAAAAATTGAGATAGGTTTTGGGTTTGAGTCTTTAGGTTGATAGGAATTAGGTTATGGTCATTGTTTAATTTTGAAAATTTTGATTTTGTCACGAAATGTCAAAGCTAGAATTTGTTAGGTCTGAAGTATTGGCAAGTTTCGTGTCCAAATATCATTTAATCGAGTTATAATTAATGTCAAGGTGTTGGGGGGTGGGAGTGTTTTTGGAAAGGATCAAATTTAGCCTAAGAAAATGAAGAAAACATAAAATCTCCTTTTGGCCGCCAGAAAGATTGTACGAACGATTATAGTAGTGAAATGATTGCACATTGGCCACCTACTATTTGCTTGAGTGGACGGGTTACATGGTGAAACCCTTGGTTACGATTATCTGATTTTTTACTATCCCAAACATCTTCAAACACTTCATATTATAAATATTCTAGCCAGATTTAGACCTTATGGTATGTTAAGCCTCTATTCATTCAAGGTAACACTTTGTTAAGGATCAATTACATAATACATAATTCTCATGACTCAACCACAAGATTAAAATACCAAAAATACCATAAGATCAAACAATAACAAAATCCTTTATCAAATAAGCTTTAGAGTTCTGAAAATCTAGAGAGGTGATTGTTGTTCCAATTTGTAAAGTACAAGTTTGTTTTCAGCGATCTATGAGGGGAAAAAAATCCAGAGGTTCTGGAGCTAATGCTGGAGTGTACAACTGACGAGTTCTTTGAAGATTATAGGTTGTGGGTTAGAATTTACTAAAGTTTAGTCTGGCCAATTCTTCAAGTCAATTCTTTTCCATTGGATCTGCTACTTGCAATGAGTGCTTAGAGGTTTTATTTCTTGAAGAGTTCTTCAAGGATTTTCTTTTTTAAACAAATTTCGGTGTTAATATACTTTACTATGTTGATTTGTATGCTTTGATTGTCTGTTGGGATTTAATTTAATTAAACTTCATCTAGATTCAATAATTTGTGATTTGTTACAATTATTGTTTGTTAATTTTTAAGTCTGCATACCATACCTATCCATCCCCATCTAATTGTAAATTGTGTCGAACTGCATTTTTTCAAAAACAACACAACTACCAGTAATATATAGCAAATAATTATAAAAAAAAATAAGAATAACTGGAAAAACTAACCTTAAAATTGAGCCAAAATTCAAGAAATTTATTCGTACAAGGAAAAAATTTGTGAGATTTAATTAAAATTTTTATTTAACTATCTACTCAATTATGGTGACAGCTATAAATATGGTTTAGCAACAATTGTTTAGCATTTTAGCCAATTTGAGAGTTTCGTATTCGCAATTGTGCTGAACAAAATTTAAATTAATGTACTTTTAGATTTTTTTGGTAAATGGCTTGAACAAAGTGAAATATGTAAATCAAATATTTTTGAAACGATTTGATTCGATTCAAAATTAAAACATCAAGGGATTAACGTTTGACTCAAATCAATAATTTCCAAATAACAATTTCGATTCGATTTTACAATTGGACGATTTCATTGTTCATCCCTATGCCTAATGAAATTTTTGACATTTTCCTGAGACATTCCCAGCCTAATTATGGACTTACGCACCGCAAAATTCCAAATCCATAATCAATTTAATTTTAAAGGTTCGAAACACGTGCGTGTTTACTGCACACGTTATTTGACTGTGGGTCAGTTGCCCATTGACCACTCACCTGCCTCGTGGCTGCATCCAGTCTCTTTTAAAATGCATGGGATTTTCCTTTTCCTTTTCCTTTTCCTTTTCTTTTTCTTTTTCTTTTTCTTTTTCATTTTCCCCCTTTGTAGTAAGGCCAAGGTTAAAGGCACGGCTGCTACTCGATCGTAATATGACAATATTGATTGAATTATTTTCCCATATTAAAAAAAAAAATACTATAAAAATATGGTATTTTAGGTGGAAGAAATAAATAATATTGTCAAACAATAAAATGCTATTATCAAAATAGGAAAATGCTATAATCTTGAGCATATAAATCAGTCTATGATTAGTAGATAAAGAATGGAGAAATATTGTAGCCTGTAATATGCTTAGATAGAGAGAATTAAACAATTTGTGAGCTTATTCCAAAAATGTAGCTTATTTTCCAAAACTTGAAGGAAAAAAGTGACATTAAATGACCCTATTAGAAGAAATTACAAATTCTTTGTAAAAAAAATTTATTTAAATAATAAAAGAGAATAATACTGATTTCAAAAAAGAAAAATAATTTATTAACACAAGCAAAGAAAATTTGACAAGTCAATGAGAATATTAAAAAATTGTTGAAAATAAAACCAGCTGATTTATATCAAGACTTCTTATTAGTGTTTTAACTAAAAATGAAAGATAATAGTCTCCATAAGAGAATATACATTAATAAGCCCCTGTTTAGTGAGGATTGAAATCAATTTTTTAGTAAATTTTGATAAAAATTAATTAAATATGTGATTGAAAAAATGTGAAATTTATAAAATATGTTGTTAATATTAATTGTTAACTTAAATTTTGGTAAAAATTTAAATTTTAATCCTTATTCATTTTAAATTGGTAATTCTGCAACCTTGAAACTTTTTTGAAAATGCTGCATAATACTATTTGTATTTATTGTGGGGAAGCAAGCTTCATATAAGAGAAGAATCTATAAATAAAATTAATAAAAATATATAAATTTATATAAAAATAAAATTAAAAAGAATTATGTAAATGGTGTAGTCAAACGATTTGACCCATTGTTAATTTATGGAAAGATAGATGAATGAGAAAGAAAAATTTATTTAAAATAAAATAGTAATTGAAATTTTGGAGAATAAAAACAATAGTAAAAAAATTGGCATGTGAAGTGTTACTTAATGTGATAAAAATGGTGTAAAATTTTGTTTATAATTATAAATATTTTGGTGTATTTAACTATCTTTAATGACAAATTTGTAATTCTATTAGCAAGAGTTATTTTTTGTTACCATACTATAAATTGTAAATTTACAAAACACGTTGTAAATTGTAAATATGCGTATTTTGTAAATTTTTGTAATTAATATCCGTAAAAGTTAATTTGAGCAATTAATTTCTATAGTTCTATCTTATCCAAGACAAAATCTGTCGTTAAGTGTGCTTGTTTGGCTATGTTTAAACTTTGGTTAAGAACAACTTAAAAATTTTTCATGAATATTGACCGAGCAAATTTACAATATTTTATTTTTTATTTTTTATTCTTTTCTCTCGTCTTTTTTGACCTAAGTCCTAACGTGTTGTTGACGACTCTCAGAAGGTGGAATTAATAAGTAATTAAACTATAGCCGGCAAGCCTCCTTTCCACTTTATATTGATTCATTGTATCTCAACTTAAATTAAAAAAAAAAACCCGTACAATCTGATTCTTCTTCTCTCTAATCTTGAGCCCTTTATAATGGAGAATTATCGAACAAAATTTCAATCTTCATCTTCAACCCCAGCTGCATCTCACTTGTCTGTATTAAACATGGCAAATTCTCATGCAGGAGCTGAATTTCAAGATCAAAAGTTAAATCAGTTAAATCAGTACATGGGGCCGATGGCACCTCGCACTGAAATTCCTATTTCGAACATAAACAATATTGTTGCTCAGAGGAATAACCTTGTAGATGTTGGAACTGTAGAGGTTAAATCGGACAATAAATATAAGGTCGAGAAGAAATCTCGAAAACCTAAATATGCTTTTCAGACAAGAAGTCAGGTTGATCTACTGGATGATGGGTACAGATGGAGAAAATATGGTCAGAAAGCTGTGAAAAACAACAAATTTCCGAGGTCTATTGCTTCTTCTTTTTCCCACTTAATTTCTGTTACTTGTAACTTATAAATTATAAGCTTGTGACTGTGCTATGCTGTATATATGCACATATTGTGTATGTTTTTAGGTTTGATCGCATTCTAGATTTTAGTTTTGGAAAATTTTAAACTTTGTTTCAATAGTTTGGTTGCTATGATCTTTTGGGACTTGCATAAATTAATAGATCTTACATAAAATAAATGTTAAGGGAACGATCGGAATGCTTTCGGGGAATTCGTTGTTAAGAATAAATCAAACAACTTCAAGTAAAGACATAAAAGAAGTTAAGATGGAAAATGTTTATTATTTTCAATTTTCAACTAATATCAGATATTCATTAATTTCTAAGTGCACAAATTATTGAGGAGATTCGATTTAATGATTTAGATCATTTCTCCCTCTGTGTATATATATAGACACACACAATCTCTTTCCTGATTTTGTTAAGGTTAATACATATGAGGATTAATAAGGAAAATATCTTAAACTGATTATGATATAGACATTCATCTACATGTATGAACTAACAAATTTCTAATTACTTTCCGTATTTGCAGAAGCTATTATCGTTGCACGTATCAAGGGTGCGACGTCAAGAAGCAAATTCAAAGGCTATCTAAAGACGAAGAAATAGTAGTCACAACATATGAAGGAAAGCACTCCCATCCAATGCAAAAATCCATGGAAAACTTTGAGCATATTCTCAGTCAAATGCAAATTTACAATTCCCGTTAAGTACGAATCATCTTCCTCAGACATGTAGAGTGAAATGAACATTTTGTAAAATGTTATCTTTTATTTTATACTAGCTATTTATTGGAATAATATTTGTACGATATATTAATTAGACTTGGATCATTGTGTAGAACTGCAAAAATATTTTAACTTATCTCTCTCTCTCTCAGTTTTAATTTCGACTTTTGAGTTTTAATAGAAAAGGTAAAACTTCTAAAATTGTCTTTTCCTCTTGTTCTCACATACTTTCTCGCAATCTGACCCAAGATAGTGAATTTTCTTTGTGTGTGAGTTCAACGTAGAGGAAGTGTTGGCCTCGGATTATGCACGGATGACATGGTCAACGGATTTAAACTTCACTCACGTCTACACGTATGGTCCCCACACACTTGAACAAACTATTAGAAGCATGTGGCTGCTTTAGAAGGTAGGGAATGAGGCAGTATACATTTTGACAATTAAGTCTGTTAACTTGTATATTTATATTTAGGTGTGGATGGATGAAAGATGTGTGTCACGTTATTGTACGGGTATTGGATGTAAATAGAGAATAATAAGGAAGCAATATTACTGGAATGTGTAAAATTACAATACCTTCAAATGGCATTGAGTATGAACTTTTATAGTAGAAGAGGTGGGGTGATTACCATTGGATGAAAGAACACTTGGCCTCATCGTAATGGCTGAGGTACCTCATCGTAGATGTCACCTCACCAGTCCTAGGTTTAGGGGCATTAAATGTTTTGAAAAGTCGCCATCCCAAAGCCTAGATTTGATATCTGAAAAGTAAATTGACAAGTTGAGTGTGAGGTGTTAGCTGTAAAGATATCATATCAATCAATTACAGGAAAATCTTGTATGGAGTACGTAAAGCAAGAGATGCCTTCTCATATTAAGAGGTTGATCGCCTCGGATTTACTTTACTACAGGTTATTAACATCTCTCGTATTGTCCATGGAGGGTCGAACTCTACATGGCGCTTCAGCTGAGGTGATGCATCACAAAGGCTACCTTAATCTATGGCCTCGGCTGAGCTTAGTAAAATAGTGACGTAGACTGCGAGCTTGATTGGGCTTTTCAGCTGACTACCACATGGTCAATGTTTGGAATGGGGTTGATTGAGCATAACATGAGGCACTTCACCATCAGCATTGGAAAAGATGCTTAAAAATAACTTCATATCTATTTTAAGATAAACCAAATATATAGGATTAGGATCTTTACTAAATATGATAGGTTGCAGTGTACTAGTCATTTTTGACTAAAAAAGGTTAGGTAAGATGTATGGATAATAATGTAGGGTGACGGAAGCGTAGAATTGATGAACGAACACGGCATTGAAGTTCACTTGAAATAAGCGTATCCCACAATATGACCACCTTATAATTTCTGTTGATTTTTAAGAATACAAGAAATATAGGCATAAAAAACTCTTTAATTCTTACTCATCATTTCAAATGTTAAACATCGAGAATTAGGCCTGGGGAAAGAATCGAAAAATCGACCAAACCAATCAAATTGAATAGACTCGGGTCGGTTCAACACGGAGTAATTGGTTTGGTTTGGTTTTTTTTTAAGCAAAATCATGGTGGGTCAGTTCGATCATGGTTTGAAGTCTCAAACCATTGCTTAACCGAATCAACCCAACTCATTTATGTGTTCACCTTTTTCTTTAAAAGAATTAAGAAAAATAAAAATTAAAATATACTCTAATCTCATAACTATATATCGATTCCTCCAATCTATTATGTTGTTGGTAAGTAATAGCACTGAAAATTTTCTTTTACGTTAATATGTTAAACTTAGCATTTTTTTTTCGATATTCAGTCAATCGGACTATATAATACATAAAAAAGCAATAAAATTTTTAAGTTTTCTGTTGATGTGTCTCTATAACCTGATTTAATTTATTAATCAATAGTTCTTATAATATAAAATTATTTGGTTATTTTAGTTCTTATAATTTAAGAGTGCCTAAAACTCGGAGAATTTCCTTAAAAAAAAAAATTAAACTAAAATTCCAAACCGATTTGGATTGGTTTGGTTCGGTTTAAGAGTTAGAGTGAGTTGGTTTGAGTTGAAATTTATCCAAAACGACTAATTTGATTTTGGTTTCGAGTTGGAGTCGAAACCGACCCAAATCAAACCGCGCCTAGGCCTACCGAGAATTTATGAGATTGAAAAATTCCAAAATCTATAATTTCAACTCAAAAATAACTTATTGCCAGGGTAATTTGCAACCCTTATTTAAAGAAATAAATTAGAATCTAGATAATTACTAAAATCTAGATAATTATTAAAAATAAAAGATAATGATGAAAATTAAAAACTATAATATTTAGATATAATAAAAAATAAATGGAATTAAAATTCAAATCTAATTAAAAGATATTGACGAAAATTTAAAATAATCATAAATAAAGACAATTCAAATTTATTTTAATAAAGAAAACTAACTAAAAGATACTTAAAACTTGATTTTAATCAAATATGTCATACCAATCCATCTATGCAGGACCTACTTAATTTAGAGCGCTTATTTTTTAGATTAATGGAAAGATCCCGGCTAAAGAGCTAATAAATTTTTTAAAAAAAATCTTCTAAAAAAAATCTAAGTATTATAAATACAGTAGTATTTATGAATGACAATTATATATTTGCAGCTCTAATCATTATTACCATTAGATTCCTTGTAGCCATAATTCTTCCCTGTCAATGAAAATAGACATAATTTTATTGACTTCTCTAATTTTTTTTCCTTTTTTCTCTCCAATTTATAACACGTTATCAGAACAAAATTCTAACTAATTGAGATAGTAAAAGTTATTTCTCTTTCTACTTTCAAATCTTTAGCCAGTTGATTTTTTTTTTCCTTTAATTTAAGGGAAGACTAGAATTTCTAGCCAATTGAGTTTACAAAAAAAAAAAAAAACTCTTTTATTCTACACAAAGAAAAGGTTAATATTATCTTAACTTTAAATTGTATAACAAAGTGATATAATTATTTGATCTAATTATATGGATTTGACTATACCAATTTATGATAAATAAATATTTATGCGAATGCTGTTTTTTGTTCAATATTTGAATATAATATTCCAGAAGAATATTATATTATTTAGAAACAATCTAAATCAATATTTCAGAAGAATATTTTAGCATTGCTTGAAAAGGACATGCTATTATAATTTCAATATTATTGAAGAATATTGATTCATGACATGACTATATCTTTATTCTGTATGAATATTTATTTATATTAATCAATTATGAAATAAAGTCATGTTTAACGGGTAAAGGTAAATTTTACGTTAATATATCTATAGTTTCAATTGAATTCACATTAATAAATTTAAGCCAATATTTTGCGTGTGTTTCATCTTTTTGCCTAGTTTATCAATTTTTCTTGCTCATCATTCAATTAATTATATCGTTCATGTTCTTTTTAACACGAGTATAGTTTATGAATTTAGTATTTGCTTATCTATCTATTACAAAATATTGTTGTTCCTGAAGTAGCACATTATTATTGATTTTCTAGTTAAAATTTACTTTTTCTCAGAGAGCATAATTAAGTAAAATTTAACATAAATTATATTTTTGCTCATGAAGAGCCAATCTTTACATAATATATATTTTAAATAATAAAATATTCTTGCTCTTGAAGAGCATAACATTAAAATTTTAATATTTTAAAATAATATTGATATATTGCTCTCGAAGAAGTAATATCAAATACACATGCTCTCGAAGTAGCACTTGTTTTGAAAAATATATCATTTTAAATGAGTGTTTATCCCTGAAGGAAAATATACACATACATCAAGTTTGACAACTTTTTTTTTACATCATGTGAGTTGGCAGACTTTTATACATTGATTTTAATAATCTTTTTTCAATCCATGGCTAGAATTTTTACATATAGGCGAATTGCCAGCAAAGCTGGCAACCGATAGTGTACAAGAGGCATAACTGATGATTATATCATGATTAATCATATTTTTGAGAATTAACTTTATCTTTTATTTAATTGAATAGTTATTCAAATAGTAAACATTATATTGAATTAGAAGTTCAATTGTTGAATATAATATTGTTTGGCACGACTAATTGGACCATCATTGGAATAATAATGATAATGGAAATTGAAAATTCAAACATTCAATGAAGAATCAAAAGATTCTTCAATTTAATGAATTCTTTTTCCTATATAATGTTTTGTTCTCTTTATTGAAAATTGGTCATTAACTAACACTAACTAAAATAAGGACTGAATTTCATATATTTCTGAAAATTAATTAGGGAGATATATGTTGGCCATCTAGATATTATTTAATACATCTACTAGATGATTGTATAGTATTTCCAACCAGAAGTTTGTAAAATTATTGCTCAAATTTTAAATTATGAGCATTAGTTTTAGATTACTCAATCAAGACGATGTGTCTTATTATTGTTAATGAGCCTAAATCTCAATATTTTAATAAGTGTTAATTAGGATATCAATAAAATATTTTAACATTATTGCTTGTTAAATGCCTCTAATTAGCCTGCAACGTCGACCTGCCAAGGCCACAAGTCAACATGCTAAGGAGTAGGACAAACATGCAAGCCGAAAAAGCCAGACCGAAGAGACCAATCGTTACGGATCTCTCGAAGATTGGCATAACGGAAAAGAATCTCAAAAAAGCCACAGATGAGCAATTGTCCTTTAATGAGAACGAGGCGGATCCACATGCTTACCACGGAGTTATGGTAATCTCGTTGCTTGTGGCAGGGGTAACCATCCCCAAAGTGTTGATGGATACAGGAAGCGCTCTGAACATCCTATTCAGCAATACCCTTAAATGGATGGGTATCCCTGCTAACTTCCTTCGACCATACCTAAACATGGTCCTAGGATTAAGCGAAGTCTTGACTTCTACTAAAGGATCAATCTCAAAGTTGAGTCTGTATCAACACCTTGGCAGGTGAAGATGAACTCCGAATTCGTGGTGTTCGACACTCCCTCCCCTTATGACGCTGTGATGAGATAGCCCCTACTCTTCAGCCTGAGAGCAGCAGTTTCCCTATATCACTATTCTATCAAGTTTCCCACACCCCATGGTGTGGGAGAAGTCAAAGGAAACAGGGAGCTCGCTGAAAGATGTCAATGGAAAACCTGTGCCAACCATCG